AATATCAACGGCGTTCCAAACAAGGTTTACTCCCAGGGAATAAAGCCCGCAGACATTTACAGAGAGGCCGCGCGCAAGTTTGGCGACCAAATTAACCCTGAGGAATTCTTTAAGGATAAGTACGCGCTGTGGATCGACATGCGCACAACGAACGACGAAGACCTGCATGGTCAAGGCCTCCGTTTAGTGAATACCCAAGACGGTATCACATTGGAGATCAAGCGCACCAAGAACGCCACTGCGAGCGACGGCGACAAAATAAACTGCTACGTCTTCGTAGTCTCAGACGCGCAACTGAGCGTAGAAATGAATCAGCTAAAGAGCGTTGSCTATTAATGACTTCTAAAGATAAAATATCCCTTACGTATAATATGCTTCGCGTATTCAAAAACAACGAAACCAAACTGCAAGTCGTGCAAAGTAATAAACTTTATTTCAAAGCAAAGGAAGTGGCGCTGGCGTTGGGTTATGCAGACCCAAAAGATGCAATCAAGGTGCATGTTCGTGATAAATACAAGGTAAGGCTTAGCGAACTCAAGGTGGAGGTGAATCGCCTCCCCCTCAATTCGCAGCCTAATTCCCTGTACGTAACCGAATCTGGGTTATATCAATTGATATTCAGTTCAAAGTTACCCAAAGCGTTAAAATTCCAGGATTGAGTTGTGGAGGAAGTACTTCCCACCCTTAGGAAAACTGGTAAATACGAGATAGAGAAGCGGTTCGATAGCCCTAACAAGTTAGTCTTCAAAATGGAAAATGAGTTTGACCTGCATAAGAAAGTCGTGGACTACATACGCCGCTTTTACCCACAGATGCTCATAGCGCCCGGCTTAGGGGAATTGCAGGATTCTGACAGCAAACGCATAAAATGCTGGCAGAAGGGTTATCAAAGGGGTCAACCCGACCTTCTTATCTTGAACGCGCATTTAAGGTATGAAGGGCTTTGCATCGAATTAAAGACGCCGAAAGGAAATGGCATACTATCCGCAGACCAACGCCTAGTGATCTCTCGGTATGACGCGAATGGTTACCTGACCATGGTTAGCAACGATTATGACGTCATCTGTCGTGCCCTTAGCAACTACGCGGAAGGCATCCGTATTCCCTGTCGGTGGTGCTGCAAACGCTTCAAGACT